AAGTTTCCATACACTAAACATTATTTTTTGTCAAGGGTGTTATATATAAACCAAATCTATTTTTATGAAACCCCACCTCTGATACCGTATTTATGTGGTTTCTGCGCTAGATCGAACTATATTTTAAATGAAAATTATTAAGAATAAATAAATAAACATAAGTTGCAAACCATATCATTTTGATTTTTGCTACTATTATATTGCTCGCAGCTGTATGTCTGTCATAGATTTGTATTGCTTTCATATTGAACTGTTATGTAGCAAAACACTATTCGCACCGTTAAAATCACCATTCAGCAATAGCTATTTCTTCAATCACAGCTAGCAACACCATTCCACAATATTCTATGTTTTTTCTTTTCTTTTACCACTTCGCACACCCACTATCAACATCACGACAACCACCTACAACAACAACAACACCGCTACCAACTAAAACTGCTACTCAACACACCCACCATCGAACAAGTAGGCCTGGAGAATGAGGACATGACTCCGACACTGCGTCAATTATGGACCGCCATAAGGCAGATGCAACAGGAAATGTCTCAAATGAAGTTACAAATGAACGAAGAACGTGCGCTGCGATCCAGCCTGCAACAGCTGCTAATGCAACATTTGGAAGCTGGCAGTGCGATTAGTAATACACCGAAATGTTGACTATGCAAGTGAGTAGCGATGGGGTTTGCAGGACGCACAAAATATGGCAGCAATTGAACATTGACGCTTAGCAAAGTAAAAGTATTTGAATGACGCTTTGAAGGAATTGAGTGATGCGAGAAGGACGAAGCGGTTGTATGAACACATAATTTAGTGAACATCTTGTTGCAATTATTTTTTAGAAAAACAAAACAAAACTGTTTTTTGTTTTAGATAATAATAGCTATGCATATTTTTCGCTCAAATAGTTAACTTATTAGGCACTTAGTTAGATTTATGCTTATATACATAAGTATATATAGATTGTGTCATATTTAACGAAATTACATTTAGTTTTAACGTATTTGGTTGATAAGCACAAATAAAAATTAATTGTACTGATTGTAATGATTTAGAAAAACGCCTCTTTAATATATGTATTTAGATGTATGCAG